GTTTCCAAATAAGTAGTTTAAAATAAGTTACAATAGCAATAGTTAAAAATAACTTTATATAAATGATTATATTTTTAGCTTTAAAAATGAAAACTAATGTTTAATGTTTTAAATAATTACAATGATATTAATTAAAATGTTAAGTAAAATGAATTTCAAAAAATTAATTAACAATAATAACAACTATAAATAACATTAAACCATATATTATTTTTATTTTCATTCATGAGTAACCCACAGGTAGAGGTCATTCAAACGATTGAGATTATGCAGTTTTAATAAGTGTATATATTATCATATAATTCAAAATAATCAATATATTATATCAACTTGATATACGAATTATTATATCAAATTTAACAACAATGCTATTGTTATATTTAGGAAAATAAATATTTATGAAGATTTCAACTATATAGGTGTTTCTACGCAATGCACGGCCATTCGTCTAATTTATTATAATAAAAGCCAAAATATTTGACCCTTATGTTATGAAACTCCAATGACCCTTCAATTGCCTTTTAATAATGATTGTTATCATAAGTCATAAAAATATTATGATAAATTTTGATATCGTGACATAATTTATAGTAGTTTATTACAACTTTTCAACTTATCATCTAATTACATATCAGAAGGCTTTTTATAAGTATATTACATATTACTTTAATACTAAAACTCTGTAACTTTCAATTAATTAACTATTATAACTCAAGAGTTTTTGTAACTTATTATATATTAATTTGTTTATTTAGAGTATATATACTTCACGGATTAAAATTAGATTGTTAGGATTTCAAGAAAAAGATTGAGGAAAAAGAACTTAGAAGATACGTAGTTCTATTTCAAGAGATAGAACATGATCAATAATATGGTTGCTTAACAAGATTTTCATCAAATAGATTATTAGTATTATTAAGTATTTGGTTCTATTACTTTCATCATATTAAACTTCTTTTGTTTTTTATATATGGTTTTCTATTATTGGAGCTTATGCTTTTGCTTATCATTTTAATATTGTTTCTTAATTCTCTAATTTCTAACTAAAACTTATCTTTTGTTGTTGTTTCTTTTATTAAAGCTTATTCTTTTTTTTTTTCATTTTAATATATATCGTTTCTCTATTTTTTAATTTCCACTTGGAACTTATTCTTGGATAAGATGTCTAAGCCCATAACTATATATGTTATGTACTTGACCCGGTTGTAGCATGGTACTTTTGGGTACCTTCACCAAAGCAACTTGATTGGATGAATAATGGAGAAAGAAGATAAATGTGGTTTATTAATATATTATGTGAATAATATATTAAAAGAGAAATCATATTGTTTAATTAATATTGGTCAAGAATTAATTTAGAATTAATTTTGTGATCAAAAGAGATTAATTAAACTAAGGGGACTACAATTTTAATTATGTGATAATTACAATAATAGGCTGATAAGCTCTTGGGTAAGAGGTGGAAAATTTTATACGGAAGCCCATATAAAAATCATCCAAGGGCTTGGTTCTGGAAGGATCTAATGGGCTTCTTGGAGCCTAAGCAACCTAATTAGGTTTTTTACTAAAACCCTAATTATGTTGTTATATAAAGACCCCTTGGGGCACCTAAATTCGGCTACTTGAACTCTAGAGGATCATATAGCTAAAATTAGTGTCTTTCCCCCCTCCCTCTAACATTCTCCAATGGCTTGTGGTGTCTATGATCGATTAGAGGTATTACATTTGTGATACTAGGCTCTCAAGGCAAGGATCTTCAAGCTTCAATTGATAGGTAACATTTTACTTGTTTTAGCTATGTTAATTCGATTACTATATGATAGATTTAGGATTTGTACGCTTTGGATGATTTTCATGTACAGTTAGAGAAACCTAGATCCAAAGCATTAGGGTTTGCATGTGCACTATAGGATTGATGTAATGCTCAAAACCCATCAGTGGTATCAGAGCCTAGGCTCTTGTCCCTGAATGATGAACTCGACGAGTCAAATGAACTCAACGAGTCCAGTCTGTGACTCGGTGAGTCGGGGAGTTAGGTGGCAGATTTTTAGGAATTTGACCTATTTTGGATTCGGATAATCGCTAAAACCTTTTTGACTAATAAAATCTGATTTTTATTATATTGTTATGATTATCCTAATCCAAATAGAAGATAATTGTCATAAATAAGATAATTACAAGTTTATATGATAATATTAATTATTTGTAATTTTGATTTGAATTATCTTGTCAAGAAAATAGATTAGGTCAAATTATGTGATAAATATTAATAATATGATTAGTTAATTATTTTTAAATTTGATCTAATGGTTTTGAAAAGTTTCAAAGTTTGCCCTTAAGTTTTGGAATTTAAATTTTTGATTAAAAGTTTTAAATTCTAAAACCCTAGTATTTGAATAGTTAAAAATTTACCCTTTTGGTTTTATTAAATTAACTAAGTGTTTAATTAAAAAAGATAATTAATAAATCGATAATTATATGGTTTAAGTTTAATCAAATTAAAAGTCTAATTTGTTAATAGATTAAACCACTTAGTATTTTAAAAAAATTAAATACACCCTTATACTATAAAAATTAAAAGCCTGATTTATTATATATGTATAAGTAAAACGTCAGTGTTACCATTAGTAGGCCTCATTCACAATGCTTATCTATAAGGGGTGTTTAAGGAAGCGGCCTGTAAAATGATCGTCATTGGGTATCCACTCTAACCCACCGCACTCTTGACTAGTGGAGGGTCATTTGCTGAACCATTAGGATAGGACACAACCTTCCATTATAAGTATAATGAAATACAAAGTAACTAAATGCTTTTATAAATTCTCAAATCTTAGTTACTATAGGAAAAATGTGAATTTGATGCTAATCCATGAAATTGCACATTAGGATAGGACACAACCTTCCATTATAAGTATAATGAAATACAAAGTAACTAAATGCTTTTATAAATTCTCAAATCTTAGTTACTATAGGAAAAATGTGAATTTGATGCTAATCCATGAAATTGCACATTGCACCTTGTTGGTTATTAGTGAAGCGTGTGTGGTTAATCGACACACTAATATGGGACCAATGAAGGATGGTGATGGGTAGCTCGTAGATTATCGTAGATCAATAGAGCGTGTGGTTAACCAGCACACTGATTAGGCGATAAACTTCTTTGAGAGTACCAAACTAATTTGCATGGTTATTCACACCTTATTTGTGATCATCGGCATCCCAGTCACAAACATGAAGGGCATAATCGAGATTAAACATGCTATTGAAAAGCTCAATTAATCTCAAAAAATCTAGGAATTTCAAAACATTTAAAACCTAATTTTCTTTTTGTTTTTCATGGTGGAAAATGGTAAATCGTCATTTACCTACCTTCAAATATGCTGCAATTGGATTACGGTATCCCTCTATCAAATTGTAGAATATTGTGTTGGGTCCTACCCTTAATATTTCATTGGGGTGTTATATTAAGGATTGAATCAACTAACTTGAATTTCTCCCTTTTTGTAGATGACAAATTCTAACAACTATGGTTTTCTCGAATCTTTTGGAAAAAGCCTTCCATATGAAGATGGTGTTCCACTATTATTATGGAAATGGAAATCATGCTTCACTTCCTCCACCTCCTCCAATAGTTCTCCCTGACCCACGTGTTCGAAGAATTGAAAAGTTCAAGGTGATTCAAGCGCTATTGGCAAGAAAACACGCAGATGGAAAGTCTGTGTGTGCACACATCTTAGAGATGAAGGCAGACATTGATAGACTGGGAATGTTAGGTGTCGATGTCTTAAGGAAGCTGGCAATTGACTTGGTTCTACAATCACTTCCTGAATCATATTGTGAGTTCATTAAAACAAAAATGCAAAAATGGTCCATGTGGTTTGTCATTGTTGTGAATATGGTCCAAACCTTTTAAAAATTGGATTTCTAGTCCTTATTGAGAGGTTTGTTTGTGGAACAAGTCCCTAGAGTTAACTTTCGTTTGTTTTTGGTTGTTAAAGCCCTCACGTGCATTGCACACGAGGGCATAAATGTCTTTTTACTTAAGGTACCATTTTTATAATTCCTGAACTAATATATAGAGACTTCCGGAACGTTCTTCCCCAACGTTCAAGTTGTTCCCCAAACGTTGTTCTGCAACTTTTAAGTTGTTCTTCCTTCTCACATCTCTCCGTATTAACGGTCGTCTTGTCAATTAATCACACGATGGTTCTCTGTTTTTATGGTAAGTTTGTTGTTGTTAAATGCTCATGGACACCGAAGAACCTAGGCAGACGTTTATATGCTTGCCCTCAAAAGGTAAAGAAATTCGTTTGCACCCATTTTGATTTGTAATCAAATAACATTTGTTATTTTCCCCTTTTTGAAGGATTCTGCTTGTCCCTTCATCAGATGGGTTGATCCCCCCATGTGTGAAAGGTCTAAAGTCATTATTCCTGGACTATTGAAAAATATGAACCGAATGCAAGCTTGGTGCACATCTCTAAAGATTCTGTTGTTGGCTAGTTGGGTGTTTTTTGTGATTTAATTTGTTCATAAGGTCTGTTGAGGTTATGGGGTGGGGTTTTTTTGTTAAAGATCAATAAAAGTGTGGTTTTTGGGTGGATTAATGGTTTTTGGTCCTTTGACCTAGGTTCTTTGTAGTTGTTTGTAAGGTCAAATTAAGCTTTTTATGTGGTAACTGACTTCCTGATATAAATATGAATTTTATGGAACTACTTATGTTGTTTGTAAGGTTCTTTGTAGTGCAATTACATTATCCTAAAATATGCAACCATATATATGTTCTAATACTTATCATACTAATGAAAACCAAAATAACCATAAATCATAAGTTTTTTAACATCAAAACACTTCCAAAAGTAGCAAATAACATCCGCCAAAACAAACACAACCTTGATCTTCAACTTCAACCTAACTTCCACCTCCTTGACATTTGCATGTCCTTGAGTTGTGACCTTTGTTTTTGCATTTTGCACATGTTACACTGACATATTTCCTTGTTAATTTTTGAGCTCCATCAGGACCAACTTTACAGCCTTCTTCCTCTTCTTTGTAAGCCTACCTGGTTGCTTATGATGTATTGGACGGATAAGTGTAGTGGGACACAAACGCTTAGGCCACATTATTCTTCCTTTTATGGGCTCTACCTTATAGGAATATGTATTCTTCCATGTATCCAACCAGTATAACTTATTGACCCACCTATAAATGTCACCAACATCCTCTGAGTTCTTGGTCATTTCATAGAGGGTTGCAATGGCATGTTTACAGGGGATGCCTATTAGCTCCCACTTCCTGTAAGTACATGTGGTGTTCCTAACATCTACAACATGTTGATCTTGACATGCCCCACTGACTTGGTATTTCTCACCCCCATTCCACCTAGCAATGTAATTTGATGCATGAGACTTATTTACATCCAATATGGTTGTTGCAGTGGGTGTTAAAGGCCCTTTTGCCTTGTCTATCACCTTCATAACATTACAGATTCTCTTCATCCAGTATTCTCTAATATACTCCAAACAACCTATGATAGGCTTATCTCTTCCCTCTATTATATTGATGTTAAATACCTCACAAAGGTTGTTTAACAGTATATCAGAGATTGCTCTTCCTATTAAAAAAATTAACATATTGTTTTAAGTACAAGTGCACATTTAACATATAGTAATTTATGGTAAGTTATGTAAAATGGCTTCGTGCCCAGTGTTTTGGAGGAATCTTTCTAAGCCATTCACATGCCTCCTTGTCGTAGTTGTAAAATTCTCACATGCAATGTTCAAATTCAGGTACAGTGATTGCAGTTGCACATCTTTATAAATGATCCTTGTACTCTTTCAATTTCCATTTCACTCTAATGTTTTGATGCATGTGCCTGAGACAATACCTGTGCTCAGCACATGGGAATAGTTGGGCTATTGCTGGTATTAAACCCTAAAATGTCACACCCCAAAACCAAGAATGGCGGAAACGTTCTAGGGCGGAGGACGTCATGTAAAGTATCACAACACAGTAAATGTAAATAAGCAAACAACATCATCCATTGCATTAAATATAAAATTTTAATACAAGCGTGTTCCGTACAGTTTTAGACACCAAAAATATAATGTAAATCAAAATAGTATGATGAGTCTTGAATGCGCTCCATCTTCTCAAAAGCTAGCATCGGTACCTGTCTACTGATGACCTGAGAATACAAGTTATTTTGAAAGAGTTTATCAGCATTAAGCTGGTGAATTCATAAGTATTTTAGTGTCGAGGTTTATTATCAAAACGTTTGAACCTGTCGCAAGTATGAGTTGTAAATGTATGTAAGTGTTTGTAAAAGTTTGAATCTCTCAGAAAAACCTATATTTTCTGTTAAAGTAGCCCTCTACCAAGGCTTAACCGTTTTGTATGCTCGTTTGATGTAAAAGTGTGTAATTTCCCAGGGTGTAACTATCATTTAACAAAATATAGTTTGTACATTAAAGTTTAAGTGAGGTTATCACCAAAATGTAATGGGTAAATTATTGTAGTACGGTAGTTTTGTTTTATATGAACTACTGTTGTACTAACTACCTTAAACCGGGTTTATATTAAGGTATCGTGTGATAAATTGCACCATACTATCGACTGGTAACATCGACAACGTATAGTCGAAAAATAAGGTATGATGTTTGGCACCCGCAGACCTATCGGTCCCACTGTAGCTAGCAGCAAAGGTGTAGGATAGTCAATCCAGTATAGATCTATACGCAAACTCACGCTCTCCCTCCAAGAGACTCTGGCTACAACTCGGGTCATGTCAATTAAGACATGCTTCCATACAGTGGATCACAATTGTTAACGTATTCGTGTATATGCAATATAATGTTACTTGTTCTAGTATCGTTTTATATGTTCTCTTAGTAATAAGTATTGACTCCTGAATGAACTGACTCGTTGATCTAGAAATTGTAGTAGTATGATCCCGTGTTACCCCGATGGTAACTTACTAATGATGTGCTGATAAGTATGAATATGGAAGTACTTTTATGTCTATACATGTATATATGATATATAACTAATATTGAAATGACCCTCGGATGGTCACCCGAAATTCCACCAGACCACATCCAAATCGAGGAAAAGGAAATAGGATAGGTGGCTTTCCTAAGCCCTTTAAACGTTATTTATACAACTATACATATATGGGCATGCAAATTTATAGGTAGTAAAACAAGGTTTACAATAAAGCATTTGATAAGTAAAAGAGTTTGTAAAACATTTTGAAGTAAAACAGTTTGAACAGTGATAAAATCATTGGTTTCCTAGTTATTAATCACATGTGATTAATGCAATCACATGTGATCGAAGCAATAACTATAAGTGTTTAACTTGTATTCCCCCCCCCCCCATAAAGTATTTAAAACATTTAAAAGCATTTCAAAGGTTGAATAAAAGGGTATGAACTCACTTGGAAGTTTGAAGATAGCGAGATCGAAAACCGGGCAGAGTTTCGTCTCGGGAAACGGATTTTTCTCGGGATTCTCGGGAATCTCGGGAGTAAAATCGACCCTCGGGACTTGAGCAAAAATGACCAGGGCTTCAGGGTAGTGTGAGCACGGAAAACGAGGTAAAACGCAAGGAAAAGGAGAGTGAATGAGCAATTTTTCCGGAACCCCTCGCACCCCTTTTATAGGGGGCTGGAAGGCCCTCGTACGCGGGGCGTACTCCCGTACGCGGCGCGTACGGGACGTCACTGCTTACGTATTTCGGATGGAGCGGGTCAGATGGGACGGCGGGTCGGGTAGCTTCGCATAGGGCGACGTGGACGATCCGAGGTCGTGCCCTCGAGTATGCGGGGCGTACGAGGGTACGCGGCGCGTACCTCGGCCCTAGGCTGACTCCTCTTCGGATAATACCGAATTTTGAATAAAAATTATATATAAATTATTTATCAAACTTCAAAAATTCATATCTCCTTCATACGAACTCCGTTTTCGACGTTCTTTATATCCCCGCGAAGGTGAGACTACGATCTACAACATTCGTTTAGATTCCGTTGGCAAATTCCGAAATTATTTTTATTATTTATTTATTAAAATGACGGATTAAGGAATCTCTTTAAAAATTCATAACTTCATTATCTGACGTCGGTTTTTGCCAAACTTTTTACCGTTGAAATACCATTTTCGAGACCTTCGATTCTCGTTTAGGTCATTCCGGCCAAATGTCGCTCGATCTCCGTTTCGAGTTTTTAGCTGTCTGTTGCTAAGCTGAACTTGGAAAAATCATAACTTCAATATACGAAGTCGGATTTGGGCATTCTTTTTACGTACGAACATGGTTTAATGAGATTTAAACATAGAAGAATTTAAATAGAAACTTTTTGGACATTTTATTATCAAAGTTAATTTTATTAACTCAAAAATGTTTACAATACTTGACCTATTAGGCCATTACAAAGAGTTGAAATATCGGGTTGTCACATAAAACATTAACAAAAATTAAGTATTTAGTTTATATAATAATATGTAATTAATAATACAAGTTAGAAGGAGATACCTTTTGTCGATCTGTGATAAAAGTAAAGTTTGAGTTTGAACCAAGATCCAAGTCTTCTCCTAAACACTACAAGAACCATATCCAACTACTTTTGTTCATTGTCTCAACAATGGCATAAGAAAGGGGGGTAAATACCATTGTTAGAGTCCAACCCAACTGTTGTTAGAGCCTGCTCAGGAAATGGTCCTTTCATATGCGCACCATTGAAACCCAAAAGATACCTGAGGCCAGCCTTAAAACCTTTTTTTCAGGGGACCTAAGCAAACGTAGATTCTTTCAAACCTCCTCGTTGGGTTTGATGGGTTTTGTTCACTGTAAACATCAATATTGACAGTTGTGTCAACATTGGTTGCTTGCAATTCAAGGATATAGTCCCTCAAGATCTCATCTTGTTTCGTATAGTCACCCTCCACGATCTTAGTTGCAATAGCCTTGTCCCTGAATACTTCTTCAATAGAAACACCAACCTCGAAGTCCTTTTGAAGTTTTTCCTGCAATGCTCGAAGAGGAATCCCTAGATTCGTGTCGATTTGGTCCATGATTCGCTTGGATATAAAAGTAGAAGTGCAAGCTCTAATCTTCCTACTTTGAAGGCAAGTATGGTTGTCATTTAATGTCCTTACAAACTAGGGAGATTCTGTGTTTGACCTAGAAGCATGAAGGAACCAAATACATATTACTTTTTCTGAATTTACCTCTTTGCCCTTTCTTTTATTTTTGGTATTAAGGCCTACCACCCCACTTGCATCCATGATAGGGACTACGCCTCTACACAATGCCTGAAGTCTAAGCTTGTCATTCTTTTTATAATATAAATTCCTCCTAGTTTCTAATGCGTGCATGTCAATTTTTTCTTTCAAAATTTTCTTTGATTTAAACTTTTTCCCACCATAAAAACTGGCCTTATGGACATTGCCAAGACCGTATCTTTTCTCCTCAGCTAAAGTCTTAAGAATACATTTTCTTTTCCTTTCATCTTCTGACTCTTCATCTAAAGAATTCCATCTATCATTGTCAATGACTTCTATGTCCTCATGTTCATCATTTGTCCCAACCCCATTATGAAACCCATCCATTTGAACACAACCATCATCCTTATCAAGATTGAGGTTAAAGTCAGTCATATCCACCTCCACTTCTAATACATAGTTTTCATCATCAACAAGTTCATCATATTGTTCTTCTGATTGTTTCCCAAGATCATCACTATCAGCAGACTTTTTATGTTTAAACTGATGGTCTTCAACATTCTCATCATCCATGTTAGCATTCTCACCAGCTTGATCTTGTACCACATCATCTAATTTAGGATTTTCACCACCTTGATCTTGTACAACATCATCCAATTTAGCATGATCACCACCTTGATCTTCTACTACATCATCCAATTCAACTAAACGAAGCTTCTTGGCATAAGAACTTTGATCAACTATTGAGTTCACCCTTCCATTTCTTCTATACTCTAGTGAAACTTGTGTAGGGACTCTGTCAAAGAGTATCCAGGACATATACCCTGCCAACTGTGTTTGATCATTAGCTTCATCTATTATTGGGGTTTTATCCTTTGCTTGTACTTGAGGTACATTTCCTTCTTTTGGAAGATCAACATCACAGAGCTCCTTAATAATAAATTTTTGTTTTCCTTTTGGAAACATAAAATAGGTCAGCAAATTAGTTTTTCCATGTCATGTATACACTACAATGACCTTGTTATCTCCAATATATTTAGCCAAATTCAAGACATCATTAGCATTCCCTAAAGCTCTAAGATCAAAATCCAAGTCTTCATAAGGAATCCTAAAATGGTAATATATTACTGGGGGTACAAAGTAACCTAGCTCTAGCATCATTCCATCTAGTTCATGAACTGAGAACTCATCAATGTCTACTAAATCAATATATCGCACTTCACCTTTAACATATTTCATGTTTGGAAGCTTGGTAAAATTTCCACCATGGTGTAGCTTTATGGTGAACATTGTTGGTACACGCTCTACAAGATACAAAAAAAACATTAAGTAAGAAATTGTTTGTATTTTTGGCCCTGATTTTATCAGACTATCAAGAAACCCAACAAAATTTTGTAAACAGAGGATAAGTGAAACTAACCATATTCATTTGTGATGTCATACCTCTCACCTTTTGGCCTAATCACCCACATTACGAACACCATTTACAGTTGAAAAGCAAAAACAAGTAAACACCTTGGACCAAATCTTGATTAGGGTTTTTGCATTCAAAATGAATGAAGAAGAAGATGGAAGTGTAAGAGATAACTAAATATTTTGTGATTTTATGTGTAATATGGCGCTAAGACGATAACAAGTGGGTTTATTTTAGGAATTGTAAAAAGGGTCCCTCAAGTAAAAAGACATTTATACCCTCGTGTGCAATGCATGTGAGGGGTTTAACATCCACAAACAAACGGAAGTTAACCCCAAGGACTTGTTCCGCAAACAAACCTCTCAATAAGGACCAAAAATCCAATTTTTAAAAGGTTTAGACCATATCCACAAAAAATGTCAAACCACAGGGACCATTTATCGTTCATTAAAGATTACTATATGATGGACCACGACGTGACCCTCATTGATCTTACCTATTTGCTTATTGCTGCTGAATCAACAATGATTTGGCGTACTGGTAAAGAAACTTTGACTGGTAGATCAACCTCCCAAACTTCCATGGATATTGACAATGGCAACATTGGAAGTCCAGAAAAGTCTTCTCTTCCCAATGGAAAGGGATCGACCAAGGTCAAACCGTTTGAGCGGATGGTTAAGAGAAAGGCTGAATCTGAAGTTGTCCCATATGTTGTTCCAAAAGAGTATGTTTGTTTCTACTGCCAAGAGAAGGGGCATTGGATGCGAAGCTGCCATATATACCTAAAAGATCGCAAGGACGGGAGAGTCAAGATATATGACTCTACTTCAGGTAAATTCATTATGTAACTCTATTAAGTTCCTATTTGTAATTTTTTAATACATGATGTGATATGATTACATTTTGATGTTTTGTAGGACCGAAGAAAAGAGAGGAAGCTTAATGGAAGAAGTAGGTTGAGTCTAATTGCGAAGAGTTGGATTTTGATCGCATGGTTCGATGATCGGATTTTTGAGCTACTGCATAAGAGTTATGATAGATTGCTTAGGAATATTAGTTACATAGTTTTCATTTGTAATTGCATTGCAAGGACAAGTTTTTCCTCGTTTTATAGAGAAAATAATTTTTTGTCTTTAATATATATATATATATATATCCTTGCAACGACTTTTGTGAAAATTGATGTTTTCATGTTTCTATTGTTATCAATATTGAAAATGGATGTGATTCTTAGTTATGTTATTTGTGGTAGTGTCAGAAATTCACCAAATAAGGAAAGATTCTCATCGCCCAAGTTTTAATTGGACAGATGCTTGGAATCGTGCAACTTGTATTGTATGATGAATGAGAACCTTCGTATTTGGGAAATTAAGGCTAATTCCTTGTTCACATAAGTATGTGAGTCTAGTGAAGGACTAGAGGATCTAGTACGCATTGTTGTGCACTAGGTCAAGTCTACCACAAAGAACAATAAGAATATTCATCATGATTTGCTAAAAGTTTAGTAAATATGGTTATGCTTACAAGATTAAGTGTAATTCCGTATTGTTGAAAATGTTTCAATGTAAAGCAAAACGAATAGGAAGAATCAATTAGGTAGAAAGATAAAAGTTTCTCCAATCTAAAAAAAAGGGAGAGTACTTAAGTATTATGTTTTATGATTAACTTAGTGATTATGAAACCATGTCACAATTGATCCTCTAAGAACACCTGAGTACACTAGTATGGCTAAGAATAGGAATCTGGAATTATTGAAATGGTTAAATCAAAAGTGAATCATTCTTCGTTTCAAAATCGAGTCTTAGAGTTAAACTCCATGATTGTGACTTGAGTGATAAGTCTTATGAAGATTTATAACACACTCATCAAATGTTGAGTAGAAAATATCTTCTTATTCCCATACATTTGAAATTGGTAAATTGTGATGTCTTGGATAAGTCAAAGACCAACTAAGACCAATTGTGTGAAGTGTTTGTCTTGATAAGAACCCGCACTAACTATTGAATATTTGTTTGTCAATGAATGTTTCTTGACAAGAGAATCTTATATGTCAAGAGGCAGTGGGAGTCTTAAAGATCTTGAAAAAATTTCAAGAACTGATCAAGAGTAAACCTATTGTTAAACACTAGCACACGACTTGAGATTTGTAACCTATCGTGTTGACACATTCTTGTTTCTGTGCCATTCCAGTTGAGTTGACTATGTATGTGAGTTCTATGACTTCTCATTTGAATGCATAAAGGAAAAAGCACATTAATAACTGAAAATCCGTTGATCTGTATGCATGAGCTACTTAACTACTTGGATGACATGGTAGGCCCTTGTGCTACCAGATGGCAAGAAATAGAGATTGAACTAGTTTGGTCCATATGATTTTGGATTTGTTACAAACACTGTCTTGTGATAATGGTTATGAAAAATTCACATGGGTAGGAACCGTACACCATAAAATCTAAATGGTAAGGTTTCTCTCCGCTTCATGAAAATGATTGTGAGGAAACGCTTTCACTAAGAAGAATTTAAGTAAATAGCAATTGTGTAAATTGCATTTCTCGATTATGATTACGACATCCCTCTTCATAGTTAGAATTATGAGATTTGGCAATTAGTTTGAACATTGGGACTTATTGATATAAGTTTTGAAATAGTTTAGACACGCATATGAGCTTTCTAATAAAAGATGTATGAGCTTAGATAAAGTCTTATCGAAGCATCATGTATCAAAATTATGAACTTTGGTAAGAAAGTTAATAAGTATTGATTTCTAGAAGTCCAACTAATTTATGAGTACATGTCAAAGCTAGTAGGAGCATAATTGTTATGCTGGTAAGGATATAATTATCATGTAAGTGAGAGCATGATTATTATGTAAAACATTACGAGTTAGCAATATTAATTATAGAAAACAAAAGTTTCAATTCACAAACTTGTAGAGGTTGAAAAGTTGTTTTTCTATATTTAAGGGAGAGGAACTTATACTTCATTTCAAATCTAAAAGCTTAGATCTAGAAATTTTAATCAAATTTAGTCAAATGACATATATGAATTTTATGTTGAAAAGGTTCAACATAATTAAATTTTATATATAGAAATATTATAGGAGGAGACCGGTAAAGTATCAAGTCTTTATGTAAGACATTATGTAGTGTATCCCATACGCTTCAGGTATAGGATCGATTGCATATGTTGTAATATTCGATAGTTCTAATTTCCAAATTCCTACGGCATTAAGAGGGAAAAAGGACTAGAAACAGATATGACTAAAGTAAATTAAACAACTATCAAGTACAATCTTAGGTTCGCCAAGGATTAGTTACTTGTGGGCAGTAGGAAGTATAGTAATAGATGGACCATATTGACATTATTTTGAATAGATAGGATTCTATTTAGAATGTGTTGTCATATGGCAAGTATAGAAATGTTTCCATAATGGGAGTTGGATATTCAGAATATGTAGGTTAGAAACTTTTATGCAAGAAGGATGTTCAAAGGAATGTACTTTGAATTTGAGACTTCATGTCTATGGACTAGTCTTGTAACACTATCCAATAGAGCACTTTGTAATATCATTGACAAAGTATGTCTGACTTTAATTCTATATCATTACAAATGGATCATTGCATAAAATGTTAGAATCTAATGCATAGCAAGAATTTGGTATTATTATAATTGTGATAAGCAGTGGGAATTGTGAAATGTGCATCATTGGAAATGTGGTCAATTGATCTATTTCAAAAAGTAAGGACCATATGTAAACATAGTATGCATGCTTGGAGCATGGGATAACTATTGTTTCAATTCAAGTATTAAGTTGGTTATCCAAAAAATTATACAATGGATAATGTGTAATCCATATGGTGATTAAATAAAAGGTGTTTTATTTATACTCAAAGTGTTGAGGCCATATTGGATTCGATTATTCTTGTGTTTCACTTCACATGTTTTGACTTCCAGAATAATAAGATTATTCAAACATCCATAGTCAATCATACTTTGGAAGCATGTAATGAGGTAAGACTATCATGAATCCAACTATAGATTGTCAAAGTGTTTAGACATAGCATAAGTTTGCTACAGTATTCATTAGTGCTCTTGAAATAAGATTTGAGTATTGGATTAAACCCACGATCAGGTGAATCACCTCATGGATTTTATCATGAGTGATTTTGAGATGATAATATCTTATATTCTTGAAACGGAGACATATTGTCACAACTAGAAATTTTTGTGCCTTGTACCTACAACGCTTAAGTCAAATTATGAATCAAAGACATAAGATCATGTATGATGCATACTCTATGACAACAAAATTTCAATCAAACACACCATGCAAGCATTTCAAGTAGTCAATAAGCAATTGGAAACCCTAGAAGTTCTTGTTTAAGTCCATTTTGGACTAGGACTTCCTTATTGGGCCCAATGGACCAATAAGCTTCCAATTTGACCACCTTGGGCTTAGAACTCTTAAATGGGCTCTAATTGGACCCACTTCCATTTATTTCAATATTTTGGGCCATATTGGGCCTAGAATGAAATAAATTAATTATATGAACCATTTTGGGCCATAATTAGCCTAATTTAGCCCTAATACATCATACGACTCACATTTATGATTATTTGGACCAAACATCACTTAACATAACCATGAAAAAGGCTTAAGCATACAAGGCCCAAATTATTTTCTCTTCCTCTCTAATTCTTTGCCCAAGCCCAAAAGGAGAAGAAGAAGTTGACTTTTGCATGACACCTCATCTTTGCATGGAAGATATCTAGGTTATTACACTTCAAACATCCATGCCATCTCATGTTTTCATGCAACTCACTTCAAAAATCACTCTTATCTCCTCTCTCTCTCTTGCTCTCGGCCGATTCCAAGCACACACACACACACATTTCTCTCACAAATCTCTCAAGGAAACTCCCTCCACTCTTCATCAAGTTCTCGAAATTTAGAAGTTTTTTCAAGAACATATTTCCACAAATTCTTCATCTAAGGTAAGATCACGCTTGGATATATGATCTAGGTTCTTTTTTTTTATCAAAAATCTCTTTCTAATCCATGCAAAATCA